ACAATACTTCCCATATAAGTTCTTCCTTCATTTAATAATGGCCTTCAAAATAACAGCACAAGTGAGGGATAGAGAATGGGGAGAGAAAAAGAGAAAGGAAAAAGTAAAAAAAATACCTATTACTTAAGAAGAAATAAAAGCCATAGCAGTATTAGTCTTCTTCCATTGCTCCTCACCTGGAATTGCGATTTGTTGTTTCACTGCTGAGTCATGGCATGCTGGAAAGACCTTCACCTTTATTTTACTTACACCTTTACAAAGAGGGCCAAGCAGGTGACTTACGTACCAGTTTTAAACTCCACAGGGTTTAAGAGGGATGCAGACTTTTTAACATTCTCTGCCAAGAGGTGAATGTCATTGTCTCCAGAATGGCAAAAACAAGCTCAACAGAATGGCTTTTATCTAAGTTCTCATTTGCCCTGGTGGCAATGCCACCACCTCGATGGGCTATGGAGAGTTAGCACTACTGCTGATGAAGGAAATAATGAAAAATTCACTGGTAATATTTTGTGCTGAAAGCATGTGCTAATGCTAATTTCAGTGTGGGTGAAAGCATCAGGGGTGGGAATGGTACTTGGTATTATGGCAATCACTGTGACATTTGTCAACACAAGTCCAAGTACTTGGAAAGGAAAAACTCCTTTCAAAATTTTGCTGATATAAATTTGTTATGCAGCAACTTCTTTTATGGAGAACAACATTGCAAAACACACAGCAGTGAAAACGAAGCTCTAGTGAAATCAATGGGGAAATTCCCACTCGTATTTCTTTACACATATCCCACCTAGAAAGAAAAAGAGTAGGGGGAAATTTCTTTAACACATTAAGAGTTTAGCATAATGAAGAAGAATCACTGATGGGAAGAGAACTCGGTGATAGATATTCTATAGGCACTTGGGGGTAAAGAGAGATCCTTGAAGGAACTGAGAAGCAGGACTCACAGAAACAATGGTAATATAAAGGAAAGGTTTGATGTTTCCTGTTTTAAAAACAAGAAGTTAATTTCTGAGATCTTGAGGACAAAACAGTATAGTGTAGTAAACACACCGAAACAAGCATTCATAGTAGCATCTTATGCTGCACTGCTCATAACAAATGTAGCTGTCATAAGATGAATTATACTAGGTTTAGTTGAGGAATTTTGGAAGGCTAGTTTTGTGCATGAAAGGATACTGCATTTCCTCACTTCAATTTTCAATCTGTAAGTAGAGGGAAATTATCTTTTTTAATTATAAAAATTGTGAAAGCATTCTGTGGTTTTTGTTGTTGGGTTGGAGTTTTTTTATAGTTCACAGCATTTGAAGAAATCTATTTTAAAAAATAAGTTGGAATTTCAAGTTAACTTTTTAACAAATATATTGTCAAAACATCTAAAATAGCCTACTTTGGCATAAGGTGTTTGCCAGACTGAAACATCAGTAAAATAATTAAATGAGTGTTGTCCATATCAAGCTCCAGAAGATGGCAATGTCTTACCTTCTCTAACTGCTCCATGCACGCGTTGTGGACCACAATCTTGCAGGCAGCACACTTCCTCCGCAGAGCAGATTTCTGCAAGAGGAAAGGGACATGGGTGTGCATGGAGGTACACTATTCCTAGGAGGAAAAAAGTTAGCTGTGAAACAGGAAATGTTTCTCTTCTTATGTAACATATTTTTTCTCTCTCTCTTTTCATGCTCTCAACTGGTCTGTACATTGAAAAAAGGTCTGAAGCTCTTCCAGATAAGTACTGGACTTTGCAAAAGACAAAGCACCACAGTATTCCAGCTTCTAGTTCACAGTATTCCAGCTTGTGAACTAGAAGTAAAAGGTTCCCTTTGGGTAGCAGATAAGGCTGTTAGAGTGCAGATCACTGCTCTAAAAGGGAACAGCCTCCCAAGAGGATGCGCAGAGCCAGTGAAAAGAGGAGAAAAACCATACATGCAAATCAGAGAAAGACCAGTTTGGAAGAATATGTCGTTTCATGCTTTATCATGTAATATTTAATTTGATGGGCCTGAGCATTGCCTTGCAGAAAAATACTTGGGTCATTTAGCAGAGAATGATAACCTTCTCCCAGAATGTTGTAAAACGTTTATGAAATGTTACAGCAGGGATAAAATTTTCAGTCTAATTATGCTGGCTAATTATATTAATTTCAGTAAGGCTTTTAAAATAATTCCCATTGAATCCCTTGGGCCAAAGCATATGAAAGACAAGAGAATGCATCCAGGTGAGAGAAAATATATTTACTTTTTTCCTTGTAGATACTCAATTTAATAAACTAGATAGAATTAATTTTCGTAGTTTAACTTATAGACCTGTGCTTGAGGGACAGAAAATTTATAAACATGGTAAATCAAGATGGATTTGTCTAGAGTTTTACATTCAATTTATCCATGTTCATTTAAATCTCTAATAAATTATTTCATTAGAATTTTCAATATATTGGAAATAAACTCAAGAAGAAACAGGGAATACAGCTTCGGCTCACGTTACAGAATAATCATTATTCAGAATTTATTATACAGAATAATATATATATTATTATACAGAATAATCATTATTCTACTAAGTCTCAGAATTATCTAGATAGCCCCTAACCATGCATGTTCACATGTATGTGGAGTATTGTTCTAATGTCTCACCTGAAGAATCATGATGTTGTATAACAGACTAAGCTTTGCTGTGTTTTGCGACTTACTAACTTTAAGTATGTTTTTAGTCTGTTTACCAAGAAGAGTACGATAACATAAAGGAATCAATCCCTAAAACTGCAAAAAGCAAACAAAGGTGATGCTTTACAAGCAGTTAATTTTTTAATATCTTTCTTTTTAAGTCATTATAATGATTTTTGGATGCTGTGGCACTGGAAGCTACAACCATCTCTAGTTCTTAAGCTAATGAAAGCCCCTCACAACCATAACATGTTATAGTTATCTGTATTTATTAGTGAATAAATTTTTCTAATATCCAATCTAAACCACCCCTTGCACAACTTGAGGCCATTTCCTATTTTTCAATTGCTTGTTACTTGAGAGAAGAGACCAACACCCGCCTTGCTACAACCTCCTTTCAGGTAGTTGCAGAGAGTGATAAGGTTTTCCCTCAGCCTCCTCTTCTCTAGACTAAACAACTCCAGTTCCTTCAGCTGCTCCCCATAAGACTTGTACTCCAGACGCTTCATCGGCTTCATTGCTCTTCTTTGGACACTCTCCAGCACCTCCACGTCCTTCTTGTAGTGAGGGGCCCAGAACTGAACACTGTACTTAAGGTGCAGCCTCACCCTGAGTACAGAGGGATGATCACTGCCCTAGTCCTGCTAGTCACGCTATTTCTAATACAAGCCAGGTTGCCTTTGGCCTTCTTGGCCATCTGGGCACGCTGCTGGCTCATACTCAGCCAGCTGTCAACCAATGCCCCCAGGTCCTTTTCCACTGGGCAGCTTTCCAGCCACTCTGCCCCAGGTCTGTAGTGTTGCACGGGGTTGTGGTGATCCAAGTCCAGGACTCATCGATACAGTCTATATATTTGTGTATATAAATGAAATAGGCTACTTTCCTTGAACATTTCTGAAATATCTCAATATTCTAACTTTTTTTCCCTTATCATATTAATAAGGCTACTTATTACATCCATTCTCACTACGTAAATAATCTGGGTCACTCAAAATTGTTTGGGGCTTTTTTCCCCAGCAATAAAATATTTAGTCAGCAGCCTTTTTCCCTTTTTGAATTTCTTATCCTGGAACACAAGCATCAACAACAGTGGCAAACAATTCAAACCCCCAAGTGCCTGAGCACTCTATCAGTCTGAAGTCAGGCTTGTTACTTCAGAAAGGATTTCAGAAGGAAATCTGAAAATAACTTACTGAGAATTTGACTTGGCAGCTTTCCTCCCCCAGGTAGCAGAGGTCCCCAGAAACATTTGTCTCCAGCCACAGATGCTCTCCATTCACAGCATTTTCCTGAGAAAAAGATGATTGTTATTATGGTTTGTGAAATTCAGTCACGTGAATACAAAGAAAAGATCTGATTTTCACCACAAATTTTTAAAAAGAAGTAAACCCTAAAAACCAACAACCATGTGTTGTCCTGTTTTCCTATTACACAAAGCCATAACAGTATTACCCTGGATGACCACCCCTGCTTAAAGGATGATAATGACACAATGAATGATGTGTCACCAATCAGAATCAAAGTATTTTTATGTACAGTTCAGTGAAACTTTGCCCATGTTCTTCCCACATGCTGCATAGTTTAACTGGGACTCTACATTTCATAACCATGAGATGTACACAGAATTTTAAGGAAACAGAAAATCAAGAGAGATTAAACAAAAACATGACTACTGAACTTTCTTCTGGAGAAGCCCAAAAATTTAAGAAATGGGCCCAGAAGTGCAAAAGAGCATACTGACAATAGCATTAGGATAATGGGATAGTTTAGACAAGGAAAAATGCTTTGTCTAAAATGGCTGGACTTACACTGTACATTTATGAAAACACCAACAAAACATTAAGTGGCTAGGACAGACCAGACCTTAATTTTATGCTTGAAAGTATTATATATTCAACTGAGAACTCTCACCAAAAAAACTACTTAGCACATTGAAAATTAGTAATAATTAACAAAGTAACATCTGATTTTTCTTTGACAGCCTCATTTGACCAAATCTCTACCTTAATTCTATGAAGATTCTTCTTCTGAGAAAATTTAATTGTAGAAAGACTACAGTTTTCATTTGACTGTAATCCTGGCTCAATTAAAAAGCTCAAGAAGTCTACTGTACATTACTTGAGAAAAGTGAATAAACAGGATTTCTGTTCAGCCAGAATTAGAGCATGATGGAAAATGCTTTGACAGCCTCTGACATTTGGTTCCCACACTGCAGAAGTCACAAATGATGACGCTTACCAAACAGATGGCGTCCGACAGCAGGATGCTCCGAAATAGCCATCTTGGTTAAAATAATTTATTTAAAACATCACCAACAGTTTCAAAGTGATGAAATGAGAATGTTTCTCTTGCCATGTAGATTTCTTAGGCAATGCAGAGAAGCCGAAGAGGCAAAATCACTTGTCTTCTGGAGTACGAGTGCATCCACAATAGCCAAGACCTATGCAAGTCTGCATGTGTTGCCTACCACAACTATGGTGCTCACTTCAAATAAACCAAGAGGATAAGAAAAACTTTGGGGTTTGGTTTTTGGGGTTTTTTTTCTGGTCTACAGGTCTTCTAACTTCATCGGAATTGTTCCCATTGATGTCAGACTCAGTATTATCTGTCAGCACAAGGGGCTGGATAAGAGTGAGACTCGGATTCCAGTCTACTGTCATTGCACTCTGATTAATCTTCATTTAGTGGCACACAGTCCTATACTTCCATTTCTTCTCACGCTTTTGTCTGTCTGCCCACCTGAACTGTAGACTCCCTAGGACAGATTTTTCCTAAACTGTACATACAGTTCAGTGCACGATAGTTTAGGTGAGGCTTTTCAGCACTTTTATACTGCAAAATAGCTTTTAAGGACTTGAACCAGCTTAAGAAATTCTTCAAGCCTTACTCAGATAGAAAATTATTCAGATTGTAAATTCTTTCACTTAAAGTTTATCCTTATATTAAAGTATTTTTTTCTGGCAAGAATTATATCAGTTTTACAGCACATCATGGAAGCCTAGTCACATCATACCAATAAAATTACTGTGCCCAGAGTATTGTCCAACACATTGACTTCCTGCCTAGTTTATGAAGAGCCAGACAAGAGGACCAAAGCAGGAGGATATGAGCTCAAAGAGTGTTTGACCTGAGCATGTTCTCTGCTGATGAAAGAGTGCAAACTCAGCATTGTAACCCAGAGCTAAATTGTATAGATTATAAAAGATGTTTAGGAAGGATCAACTATGAAGGCTAAGCAAGAAAGCACATAGCTTCTGCGACATAATCTTTAATGAGGAACCAAAATTACATTAAAAAAATAGATTAAACAACCTTTCATTCAGGCCATGTCCACATAACTTGCCATCCAGGATTTCTAAAGATAAAGTGGCCTATTTCCATAACCTAGTTTAGACTGATTGAGTTTGTTCTCCATTGTTCCAGTTTGCATCATAGATTCACATGACTGACTTTACATCACAGTGTAAATAAAATCAGTAAGTAGTGTACAAGGATGACCTTTGTAGCTCATGCTATGACAGAATTCTGACAAGATTAGATAATAAATATGTAAATAACCTGATAATTCCAGATACCGATCGCCACAAACCATTTCACAGCACTGTATGTGAAAAATCACAATTTCCATTCCAGCAAACTGACAGAGCAAAGATCTGATACTTCCCAAGATGAAATGCCCTCCCTCAAAAAACTTTGCCTGTCTTAATAACAAAGGGAATTATTTGAACTTCACTGTTTTAAATTTTACAGGGCACTGTCATTTATATAAGACAATCTGTTGCTGCTTATGAAAAATCAAGATAATATAGTCAAAGGAAAATGCTTTGACCTTTTCCAAGCCAAATTTTTCATTCAATTCTAGGAGGAAATTTTTACAAAAATCAATACATTTCTATGTACAATTTTGACTTCAGCAAATCAGTATTTTCTACTCAAAAACTTACAGACAGCATTCCACAATGTGCTGGACAAAAGGGTACTCCATCTACCAACACATAAGCTGACAGAGGTCACTGGTGCCACCTCCAGTATGAAGTCCTGTTTAACACAAAACTAAAGCACAGTAAAGGCTACATCATCACTTGTATATTTTGACACAGATATTTTGCCACAAGAGTTTTGAGTTCAGCAACTTTTTCATAATAATTTGCCATTTTGGTCTGTTTTGCACTTGATGTCTTTATGTTGGCTTTAGGAATAAATGGCTACTAAAGAGGCAGTTGTCCTCTTTCTGTCCCTGACCCCTTCAACAACCCCCGTCTCATGCTTTTGCCATTTTCCTCGTGCTGGATCTAGTGTCTGTGAACCTACACATTAATCAGTTCAACTGAGGGAAAAAAAAAAAAAAACAGATAACTTTTATCTACCAAATCAGCTAGACAAAATGATTCACCCTGTGACCACATAACTGCTGGATCTGTCACAAGGACTGGGGGGTTAAAGGTCAGTTAGTGGGATTGATGCTTTTAGTACCAACTCAGTGGTAGAGTAGCTTAGCTGATCTGTCAAATCATGCTTTTAGGCTGACATGCTCTGCTTTGACTTGCTATGTGGCAAAGGGACACTGTCCATCATTGTGGATAAATCAGCAATGACTGTGGCCTAATACTCTGCAGTCAAAAAGAGAATTGGGAACTCTTGTTTCCTCGCCTGGCTTCCCAGCCCTCGCAAGTGTGTGAACTCAGTGTCCTATGAAGAGAAAGAGCCCTGCTCACTGAAGCGGAGGCAGCAGTGCTTTCCTGGCAGATGCAGCCTACCTCACAGGGGACACATGAACTCAATATGCTCTCCCAGATGGAGACCTCCCATTTGATTGCTCCTGATGCATTACCACCTTAATAGCAAACAAAAATAATTTCAGTATAGCAAACATTCCTTGCCTATGAAACAAAACCCACACACAATTCCCCCCTGAAGTGAAAGAAAAATAGGAATTCAAGGACTAGGAGTTTGGGAATTAATTAATTACATGTACGTGATCATAACTTGCCATGCACATTTCATTAGTTCAACTAGGTTTCTTCTCTTAAGTGACTCAGTATGGTTAAATGACAGAGCAAGCATTACCATTTTTCTGAAGCCCTTAAGTATCTCCATACTTTATTGTTCTTCAAGCTGCAGTCAGCATGGTTTCAAAAGCAATGTAGATAAACCTGGGTAATTTAATTTGCCATGTCAAGCAGCCATAGATATTCAGTCAAACAAATATACCACTCAGCCCAACTAGAAAGTTGGAGTTGTAGCTCCAATTATAACAGGAGAAATGGAGCTCTCCTCCACTCCTGCCATTCTGAAAAACGTTATGTAAGTTAGATTTCCAAAATAAGTCATTAAGAACTTTTTCCCTTTGTTAATACTCCAGTGACAGAGAGTAATCTTCTTACAAATATACATTTGGGTGATAAACTTATGGTTAGTGCAAAATTAGTGTTGAATCTAAATTTAAACATATTTGTAAGCAAAAATTTTTAGCTTTAGCTTTTTTTCTTTATGAGGTCACTATCAAATAGAAACAAGTTTGTTTGCTTGGCTTTTTCCCAAAAGTCTTTGTCTCATGTTTGGCTTGTGTTTTACCCTTAATTCTGAAATTCCAGAGTTCATAATGCTCATATTGCAATCAACAGCAATGTCCCAAGTGTTTTTTTTGTTGATACATATTCTCAATTTTAACTCCAACTTAGCACACTTTAATTTGGGAATATTCTTCAAGTAGAAGTTAGCTTTTCTTTAATTATTACAAATGTAATACACAGATATAAAACAAAACATCACAGAGATATGGTGCTACATTATTTTATTTTTTTTTATTTTTTTTTTTTTTTAAAGCTTGAAGATATGTAGGCTCCAACTTTCAGAACTATTTTTGGGTGTTCAACTTTTAGGTCTAGGCTCACCACAATCTCTAGCTTTTTCTGCCATTCTCCTTTCCTCCACTATGCTTTCCAACATCCCTGCATCAGATGTCCAGTCCTGTATTCCCAGCTGAGTTTTTGAGATTGTTACCACTATCATCTGGAAGATCATCTGTATGCAGAAGCAGAATAAAATTTGTCTTCATAGAGGAGGAATGTCCAGGTGCTGTCAACTGAGATGATGATTCCCTATCTTCTCATGAACCAGTATTTTGGCTGACAACAGCTTAACTTCAGTACTTTTCACATCAATGGAAAAAAATATCTATTTTCAAGAAGGGCATCTTCTGTAATATCACTGCATCCTCTATACTGTTGGGGAAAAAAAAATAAAAAAATAAAAAAAAGTAGAGATGGACAGCATTCTGAAATACGAC